GTAAATTACAAAGCCAACAAATGAGCTAGGTTGAATTTTCAAATTTGCCAATCACATTTGAATCATAGTGAATCTGAATCTCTATTTGCCTGTGCCTCAGTCACAGAAAATTTATTTATGAGTTATGGCTAATAATTAATATTACCAGATTATGTCATAAAAACTTTATAGTCAAATTGAGTTAAAAACAGTGGACACTTAAATGACTGGCGTTAGCCAAACTACTGGCCATGGCCATTCTTGCCATATTACAGATGGTTAATATACATAGTATAAAACACAAATATGCTTCAGTCTCAACTTAAACTGTTTAATAAAACTGTATATGACTGTAAAATGACTGTATATATAAACCTAAATTTTTTACTATAATAATAAATTCTTGTCAACAACTATATTAGTCAACTATTCTTGTTTCCAATATTTATAATTACTTTAATATTTATTAATTATTATAATTTCCAATTAATAAATACACACACGAAGTGATTATTACTAGTATATCATAAATTATTAAATTTATAAACAATATTACTAAAGATCTCGTATAATTTTAGCTAGTCTGTTAATTTTCCTGGAAATAAAATAATTGACATTACAATGTCCACAATTTGACCTTCAGTTCCTAGTGGACACAAGCCCAAAATAGTGGAATGTCCACTTAAATAGTGGATAGTTGGCCAGCCTAGCCCTGTACACTCAAATCTTGTAATTAAGTTTTTCCAAAAAATGTATCTTTAGTTTTGCAATATATAATTTACAATAGTATTTACTGTAATTACAAATTATTGTTTTTAGAATGTAAAGAATTTACTTTAGTTATGATAATTACAAATAAATAGTATGCACGAGCCTTCCCCGTCAGACATAAAATAATTGAAATAATTTTTGTCTCAAACTTAAAATTCACTAAATTCACTAAATTCACTAAAAAAACTTAGTATGATTTTTAGTATGATTTAGTGAGAACCAACATGATTATAAACTGCTCGCATTATTTTCGTGGCCTTATGCAATACTGACTGGAGTCGATAGCTACGTGTACACCACTGCTGTGCTGTACCCAGACATTGAGTGATAAGCAGATTCATCACACTGTCAATGCTAGCGAGTAGTATTGCATAAGGACATGAAAAAATTTTCACAACTATAAAACTCAATATATCGATTTCCTTTAATTTAATACAATAAATAAAATAGATCGGTCGATCACATAACATCTGTTACAATAAAACAAAAATCTGGCTTCTTTTTGATGATCATTCAAAATATTATTGGCCCAATTTTTTACGTATGTTTTATAAGTCGTATGTTTTATAAGTCGTATGTTTTATAAGTTGTATGTTTTGTAGTATGAATGTACTTATGAATGATGAGATCGCCGCTAAGGGGTGGCCATCACTAATTTAGATTCATTAGGGGTGAAGTGAAGCACACAATATCTCGGTTCGAATATTTATATTATTTATTCTGGTTTATATGTGCTTGTTCATTTATTAATTATTACATAATGTTGGATTTAATTATATTTATCGCAATCATAATTGTGTGGGTGATAATTTTGTTTTGGGCCACAATTAAACACATGTTAGCCCAACACTACTCCAAACAATACCAAAGCGATAAAACATGGGATAAAATATTGAATTGTTTTTCTCCAATCAATAACTATTTTGAGTCAATTAGTGTTAACAGCGCTTCGTTAAATAGAAATGTAAATAAAACCGGTGGTCAGCCTATCAATGAAAACAATGTTTTGGACGGTTTTCGATGTCTATTCTTTGTCTACGCTATTTACACACACACTATGCATATGTTGTTATTTAAACTCAACGATTTCAATATAATAATGAGTGATTACAGAATCTTGTAAGTGATTATTGCTTTACTAATTTGTTATGTTATTTAATATATAAAGAGAGAGAGAGAGAGAGAGAGAGAGANTGATTGCGATAAATATAATTAAATCCAACATTATGTAATAATTAATAAATGAACAAGCACATATAAACCAGAATAAATAATATAAATATTCGAACAGAGAGAGAGAGATTAACAATGATGATTTTTTTTAGTTTTGTAGGTTATGTAATGCATAGAATAATAATTGGAATTTCATTCATAATCAATGGATTCGCATCAATGAAATGGTTTTCCCGACAAGTGATGGATAAAGACATGAATTTTAATAAAAATCAAAATGTGTTCAAAACAACCATAAGATTCTATTTCGATAGAATCACACGAATTGTTCCCATATATTATCTCTCACTTTATTTTTATATAATTTTTGTCAATTATTTGATTTCTGATCGATATTACGACAAACGAGTGATTGATTTTTGTGCAAAGAATTGGATTTTTAACGCATTATTTATTGGATATTATGTCAACGGATGGGTAAAAATCTTAAAATTTTTATATTCAAGATTTTATAATTTTACATTTTAAAATATGTACGTTTAGTGTATGGCTGCACATTGGTCATTAGATGGATTCGTCCAACTTACAATATTTACGCCACCATTTGTGATATTGCTTTGCAGGTACTGTATTAACTTACAAAGTCGCTTTAAATCATTCAAATACAGTGCAACTACAGTATAAGAAACAAGGATCACACCCGAGGTTATAGCTGAACCACTTTTGAGTGATAATCACATAATAGGAAATGTTTATAAATAGCTGTGATTTTGTATGCAAGAAAAGGGAAGAGTTTGAGGGGAAGAGCGATTCTATAAACGTAACACTGTAATTCAGGTCCTACTCATAATTAGGCCAAAAACAGGCTATGATACGACCAATAATTAAGCCTAGCTGGTGAATTACTATTTGCAAATTCATGCTTAATTTTAAATGCATGTATATGTTTGAATATAAATACACATAGGTGATAATTAAATGTGAAAAAAAGTTTTAAAAAGTGACGAGACTCCGATTCGAACCCAGGGCCTTTAGAATTAGTAGTTAACGCTCTACCGACTGAGCTATGGTGACAATGTTTAGTTTGTATCACTTAATAGTACTCTTTATAGATAACCTATTAATTTCAACATGCATGAATGTTTATAAACATGACACATAGTCAAATATGTTTTCCTATTAAACTAATGAATTGTATTGTGTCATTGTGTATGATATTGAAATGTGATTTTGTGACTGAATTATTTTCTGCATCTCTGGTTTGGGACAAAATTACGTCCACAAAATGACAAATTCAAGCAGAAGTGCTTAAATAGTTTTAAGCATTTGCAACTTTCAGGCATTTTGCATGATTAGATTTATGCATTTTTTTGATGCAGAATAGTTAGTCTGCATTTATTATAACAGTGAATTATTAATATCTGAATTATAGTTAAAAATCTATGCCAATAATCTATGCCAATAATCTATGTTATAATATTGGATTTATAGCTACAATTTCAAATAAAAAGTGTACTTTATAGAATCAGTTTACCCCCTCCCACCGATTTAGTGATCTTTATATAAAGCGCTAAATAAGAGAGAATTCTGTATTAAAGTTGTTAAACTAACAGCACATTTGATGTTGTCATCAATTGTATCAATAAGTTATATAACCCAATAGTAATGCATTTAATTTAATGGTATTTTGTATTTTGGTTTTTTAGATATTTCAAGAAAGGAGTTTTGGTTATAATTATAATCAATGTTTTGCTGGCAATCAAAACATTTTATACAATGCATTCATACGGTATCACAAATGAGTCAAGTAATAGTGCCATCAATTTTACAAATAATCCCTTCACTGTCCAATTGTTAGTAACCAATAATTTTAATGCCCATGAGCAATTCTTCCAATATTATCTCATTTGTTAACAGACTATTATTTTATATTTCATTTATTTTACAACATGATTAATTATATACGTGAACAGTCGTGAAAATGGTACATCCCATTTATTATACACTAATCCATTGAGCTATGTGGCAACATATTTGAACGGAATGTTACTAGCATGTGTAATTGAACATGGATATTCTCAAATAATATACAAAAGCAGATTAGCGGCTAAAACATGTTTAATGTTATCGCTTGTTGTGGTCGTCAATACCATAATTGGATACTTGAGAGCGTCTGCACTGTTGGGCGAACTCCCGGTCTTCAGTGCGTGGGAGAGGTGTTCAACCGATTTGTTCGTATCATTGCTAACGTGTTATGCCGTTATATACTGTCGTGAAAGTGGGGGCCGTTTAACACGATTCATGTCCGCCCGGTATTGGCGACCAATGCGTGGTTCACATCAGACAATATATCAGTTTCATGTCCCACTATTAATAACCCTGACGTCCATTTTGCCCGAACAGCACATTATATCACATTATATTGTTTTGCTGTTATTTTGCAGCATTTTTATTGTGACGATTCCATTAGCGCTGGTGTTTGAGTTACCGGCGATTAAATTGCAACAAATGGTATCCAAATATCTGTTTGAAAAGCGAAATGAGACGACAAAAGTCCAGAAAATCAAATAAGTCACCGTTGGTTGGTATTAATGGAAACCTATTGATTAAATAATAGTATAGATAATTGATATTAGCCTTTGGTAATAGTTAATAGTATTGGCAATTAGTATATCTGTAGATTTATGTAAGAATATATAAATGTTATTTAAATATTAGTTATTTTGAAAAACTTTTAAAACTTTAACAATCAGTGAATTTGATGTAAATTCTGTATTAAATATTTGCTGATATTTTAAAATAAAGTTAAACATTTATTCATTGAGAAAAAAGTATTTTATCAAAGTTTTTTACATTAAATTTAACAAGAAAATACAAATACCCATAACTGAATATTTCAATATTTAATATTTTTTATAAACTAAATATTTATTTATATTTAAATAAAGTAAAATAAAAATATATTAAAATAAAATCTTGTTTAAATGACTTTAATCAATTAGAATGCTTTCAAATTTTTTAAAATACGTATATACCTAATATATAATTAGAATTTTATTTGTAATAAACTTGGTAATCTATCATACATTACTTATGATAAATGTTACGCTATTTGTAAGTATAGTTTACCAGTATAGGTATATTTACTAAAACTAAAACTTGCGAAAGGCCTTCCTCAAAGGCCTTTCTAAAACGATGTTGATTGGCCACTGTATCAATTCACACTGTTTGATTGACTTTAATCTTGGCGCATAATATGACTTTTAAAAGTTTTATATTTAGTAGGTATAGGTTTAGGTATAGTTTAAGTATAGGTACCCTTTCGTATTTAATATTAAAATATTAATAGTACCCCGATTCTAAATGAATGTTACTTTATATATGAATCATTGTTTATTATAGAATAGATGGGATAAATTATAATGCAATAGCGGCTCATCTGCGGCTCGGGAGGCAATTCTTGCATATAAACATTTAACGTCATTTATTTTTGACTGCTTGTATTCATATGTTATAAAGTGTATAATTTATAAGTGTATAATTTATAAGTGTATAATTTATAAGTGTATAACTCCTAATTTAATCACTTATAGCATTCCGTTTGCATTTTCACATAAAATAACGTCTGTAGAGTTAAACATAAGGGCTATTTTTAAGCCGATTTTACAAGTGTTTTCATAATAGGTAAGGTGTGATAATCATTACAAGTTTTATTGTGTAAAATGTTTATTCTCAAATAATTATTTTATTATTTTATTTGTAATTTAATTGAAATTTTACGCAGTTCTTTTGCTTGGATAATATTATAATACAAGTGGTTAATTAGACAATTCAATTACCTATATACATGTATATACTACGGTAATATTTAATTGCCTAAATACAGAACAGACATAAAAAATGGCCATAACATATGGCATTAGGTGAATGCCGGTTAGTTTAACAAAATCAAAATTAACTATCTTATCTATTGATTGCTAAATCAAGAAATTTATTTTAAAGTTTCAGAGAATTTTAGTTACATGGTTATTATTATCTTCTGGTAATAATATTTCCAACTTTACATAAACCATACAATATATGTAGTGATAGTTAGTAGAATTCATTGATTAAGATTAATAAAATAATTAATTACACGTGAATTACTAATCTATAACCTTTATCATCTAATATACAGAATATAACCAATTTCTATAATTAAAAATGTCTTCTATAAGGTATGAATTAAATAATAAGTTAAGAATGTAAAAGTTTAAAGTATTAAATTAATTTTTTACCACCACTAGTCGTCAAACATTGGGCTATAGTTACACGTTTGAGCCCTCACTGGAGCCCCTGTCGGCCCAAACAATCGGTCAATTAATCCGAGAGTGCGCTGAAGACTCGCCCGACCGGACGGCTGTCGTGTCCGCTCACCAACACATCACCAAAACATATGCCGAACTCAATTCTGACGTAAATAATGTTTTAAATATTTTATTTTTTGAGCAATTTAAAAATATTGTACGTTTTTTAATGAATATAAAAGATTTAAACACATTTTAATTGATTGTTGAAATAAAACTGACTATAAATTGCAGGCAAATAAGTTGGCCATCGGTCTGAAGGGTTTGGGATGCGGAAGGGGTGACAGAGTGGGCATTTGGGCCATCAATTGCTATGAATGGGTTGTTACACAATATGCCACCGTTAAAATTGGAGCTATAATGGTATGCATTATTTATTGTTATTTTGCGTTATATATAAAGTTTCTAACGCACAATAGAAATATACTTACAATTAAATATAAAATCCGTTAAAATTGAATATTCTATAATAAATGTTTCCATAATCCTTTTTACCTTATGAACAATTTAATGAACAGGTAAATGTGAACCCTGGCTATCGGGCCAATGAGCTCCAGTATGCGCTGAATCTGGTCGGCTGTCATACCCTAATATGTTGCCAACAGTTTCGTACCAGTAATTACTGTGAAATTTTGGACAATATATCACCGCAATTGTTGCAAAACAATACCGATGGCAACGCTATTCAGTGCGATAAGTTAGTAAAATACATGTCTGTTATAGTGTTGCCAGATCATTTCCCCAAATTCCTTGATAAATTCATTGTTTAGTAATTTGTTTGATGAGATTCCTTGAGATATTGTATAGAATTATTTGAATTCCTTTTGGGCAACCGGGAGCTTCTGGTAACACTAGTTTATTATTTTAATTGCATAGCATTGGGATTAGTATTTATTGTTGCGATGATAAAATAATTTAAATTTAAAATAATAAAATAACTTTTTAATAATCATAATTATAATCAGAATTCCGAGTCTCAAGAATATAATAGTAATAAACAGCGGCGACGGAGAGCCGAAAATGGCACCCAAACACATACCCCGTTTCAATGATGTGATGGCATCGGTCAACGACAGCCCTGAGTGTGTCGACGACCCGAGCATACAGTTTGACGACCCGATTAACATACAGTTCACTTCGGGCACAACCGGGAACCCAAAGGCGGCGACACTAACTCATCATAACATTATACAAAACGCGTATCTATTGAGCAAACGATCGCTGGAAGGCCTAGAGCTGAACGGCCTGACAATATGCGTACCGCCCCCTCTATATCACTGTTTCGGGTCAGTATTGGGCTCACTTGTGATTGCCCTCCGGAGGGCCACAATGGTATTGCCGGCCCCTGTATTCAACGCAAACAAAACACTTGAGGCGATCGATAAATACAAGTATGAATTAGAGTATTACTATAGATTAAGAGGGTTTAGGTTGAAACGGGGAATATTATAAACATGACGTGGTTATTGAATCACCAAGGTGTTTTTCTAAGTATTCATTATAAACGTTACGCATATTATAGTTACTGTTTGCCCTTTAATTACCATAATAAATATTTTAAGTAATAATATTTAAAACCCCACTTGTAATATTAGAGTACACTATATGTGAGTAACATATGAATAGACTATAAATTACAACACAAGGGTTTTATGCTGGGAGTACTGAGAAGTAATTTTTAAGCACACTTACTATAGATTATTAATTTATACAGTAATTGCGAAGTAATTAATTTTATATGAAGGTGTCACATGGTATATGGTACGCCTACAATGTTTGTGGATATACTGGCCTGCGATCTCACTAAATACGATACAACCTCGTTGGTTAGAGGTATGTTTTTAGACGACCGGATATTATAAAGCTTTATGTAAAACTAATAATATACTAACAATTCACATATACACATATCACAGGTATAATGGGGGGATCAACCTGTTCACCACCACTGTTGGATGAGATCCATAAGCGTATGCCCACGTGCGCACACATTTTGGTCAGTAATAATGCAATTATTTACAACAATTGACAACAATTTTTATATTTTTATTCACTATCCGTTTAAACTAATGACAGATCATATACGGAGCCACTGAATGCAGTCCACTTGTGACCCATACATCGGTTCGCGATTCGCCTGAGCGTCAGCTCAAGTCTGTCGGCCGACCCATAGAACACTTGGAGATCAAGATTGTAGAGCCGACCACCGGTGCATTACTACCGGTGGGTGTGTCGGGCGAAATTTGCGCTCGTGGTCATTGTACGTTTCTTGGTTATTATAACCAGCCTGATCAAACTGATGAGGTGCTCGACAAAAATCGATGGTATCACACTGGGTAGGCCATTCTTTCTCTCTCTCTCTCTCTCTCACACACACATACTCTCCATTAACACGTGTAGTGATATTGGTTTTCTGGACGCTTCCGGATATTTGTATATCAATGGCCGCATCAAAGATATGATCATTAGAGGCGGTGAAAACATATACCCCAAAGAGGTGGAGGACTTTCTAATGACCCACCCGTTCATCGCAGACGCACACGTATACCATGTGTTAATTTGTTCATAATATGAATGACAATATAATGCACACCAATAGGTGGTGGGAATACCTGACAAACGTCTGGGCGAACGGTTGGCCGCATATATTAAACTTAAAGCCGACGATGTGTTAGACAGTAAAGCTGTTAAGGAGTACTGCAAAGGAAAGGTGTGTTACCTATAATAAGTGTTAATGTTATGTAATATATACATAATCCAGATCTAACAATTAAATCTAACAATGTAAATTCATCTCCAGATCAGTCATTTTAAGATACCGGAGAGCATAGAGTTTGTGCCCGACTTTCCCCGCACTGTCACCGGAAAAGTACAAAAGTTTAAACTTAGAGAACTTGCACTAAAACAACGTGCATGATTGATTGGTTTTATTTATTAATGACTGCATGCAATTTTAGGGTTAATCACTTATTCGGGTGATGGATAATAGAATTTAAAGAATTTAAAAATAAATGTATTATTACTGTTACGACATGTTTGTAATTATCAAGGTTATTATTGCTAAATTATATTACTTATATCACTTATAAAATCGTTTATTAAATCTCCGGTTTTGTTAACTGATACGTGTATAAACTCTTCAAATCTAATGGCCATAAGTCCACTGTAAAGTATTTATAAGACAAATAAACATTATAAGAATTAGTTTATTAATTACATGTTTAACCAATATTATTCTTATTTAAACGTAATGTAATAAAATAACAAATAAATAATCTTATTAAGATATACTTTAGTTCAAATAAAGAAATAATTACTTTAACATTTACACAAATTATAGTTTAACATCTACACAATAATCAATGAAACGATTATATCAATTAAATATAATTAATTTTTATTTTGGGTTTATTAATTATTTTTGTTTGGTTTAACCCCAACCTTGATATAAGAAACACAACATATAGCGCCCAAACAAGCTTTTATATCGAGGATTGTATTGTAAAAATACAGTATAAGTTATTTATTAATTTTGAATCTAAGACAACACTTATTAAAAATTAAAACAAAATAATAATAATAATAGTTTGCAATATATTTGGGAACTTTGATATGTCTTACGATAAAACTAACACAAATCTAACGCTTAGTGAAGCCGATGTGAACGTCGCCCGGAATAAGGGTTATAATTGATATCTCAAACTTGAGGGGAACCGATGTCTTCGGTATTATTGCAAACTTATACTTCTGGATCAGATGAACGACACAGAGTTTGGCTTTCATGAGTGCCACTCGCATACCGAGACAATTGCGAGGGCCGGCGCCAAACGGCAGATACGTATAGGGCTGGATGTTGTGCCGATTGTCGGGCATAAATCGATCAGGGTTAAATGTTTCGGGATCCGGATAGTAATCGGGGTTGTGGTGGACAGCGTAGACGGGAATCTCAATCTCTTGACCGGCGGGCAAAGTGATGCCGGTGTCGGCCAATTGGTATTCGGCTACCGCTTGGCGCTCAACGGTGGCCACCGGCGGATACTTTCGTCCCGTTTCGGACAGAATTGCGTCCAAATATGGCATTTTCAACAACTCGTCGTAACCGATCTCTCCGTCCGCGTCCACCGCTGCCATCACTTCGTCGTACAGCCGGTCCTGAATGACCGCATTTAAGGCCAATTCGTAGATACAAAAGGAAAGCGTTGCGGATGTGGTGTCGTAGCCGGCGATGAAAAAGACCCACACCTGAGCCACCATCTCGTCCTCAGTTAGTGTCAGTTTCTTCGCACTCGAGGACAGCATTTGGCGTCTAATCGCCAGATCCTCTTCGCCTAAAACCATATAAAGTTATACATAAAAACATCTCTAATTCTGTTATCATATGAATGCTGTAATACTTTCGTTGAATGCGTTTGCATCGGCGGTCGCTTCGGCGTCCCTGTCTTCTGGTCGGGCGTCGACCAAAAGTTGTATGAAATCGTTATACTTTTGACGGCTGTTTGGGTCGGCCTTTCGCTCGCGTATAAGCCGTCGGCTGATATCAATGAAGAACTGATTGGCCGACTCGGGAGCTCGCGATTTAATACCCATCGCCTTCACCAACCATTTTGGCAAAAGCAATATAACAATCATACGGACAATGTCTATGTCCAGCACCTGTCGCGCGGCCGTCACGAACGCAGAGTTCTGGTCGTTGTGAGCGTCGGTATTGGTGGCAAAGGCCACGGCTGCGATCACATCCATCGTGTAGTTGCCCAACACTTTCTTGATGTCCACGCAATCGCCCGACTCCTTGTCCTCCACGTGTTTCATAAGTGCCCGAACGCAATGTCTGACCATTGGATACATTTTACGCATTTTAGCCGTACTGAAGGCCGGACTGACGATCGCACGAATGCGGCGCCAGTTCTCACCCCTCGTGTGGAATATACTCTGCGATAACACGGGATGACTGGCCGGACGCACACGTCTATTGATAAACATCTGAAAGTCCTTAACCATAATGGCCTTAATTAAATCCGGTCGGGACACCACTAATACGGGTACATTGCTTTCATACAATCTGCAATGATATAAAATGAACTAGTATATAAATAATATAAATTTACTTGATAATAATTTTTATTCAGTACATTTAGTACAATAGTTTGGCGAGTAAAATAATTATATATTAAATATATATTGTATATGATATACCCATATATCTGTCCGTATTTGCGGTCCCACTCGACGTCCAGAAACCAGCGCTGTTTTAACAGCCAATAGATAGAGTTACCCAAAAATGGCACCGGTTTTGGGCCTTTCAAACCCATTTTGGTGAAATAGTTAAATTGACGAGATATTCGCCTATTAATAACATTTAAAATAATTAGTAAAGAAAAAAGCGTAAATTACAATTACCAGTAAAACGTGGTCACTATTACGGCGGTTGCAATAGTGATCCATGAGCTCAACGATAATTGGCATAATATTAGCATTAAATCCATTGTTTAAATTAGTTATACTTTAAATATTAATGTATTCGTGTCATGTTAAATGAGTGTTTAATTATAATTATTTATCGATTTCATTTAATTACAAAATAATTGTTTAAAACAGGATTATTACTAAACGTATAATATATTTAATAAATTGAATCACGTGGTTTTAATATACTGTCGAAATAAAATATAAGTGATCACAGAATAGACATTGAAGGTTAGCATCTGTTATATAACATATTCTTTAGAAAACAAATTGTTTACATTGAAGGCAACAAATAATATATAACTATTCATAACAGACATATTAATACTAATCATGCTAAATTCATTGTTAATGTGCACCTTTTATCAATGTCATTTATTATATCAATTGAAAAACACTCACAATTCGTGTAGAATATTTTATTCCGAATACTGTATTTAAAGTTAATAATGTAAATCTTTTATTTAATTATAATTAGTGTTTCATTTGACGACAAAATGATAGGAAAGGTAGCTTTGATTACAGGTATATAATAACATAATAGTCAATTTAAGATAATTTATTAATCTAGATAAATAATAATTATTCATTAATTTCAAGGTTCCTCTTCTGGTATCGGTGCCGCTATAGCCTTAAAGTTGTGGTCTTTGGGTGCAAATGTAGTCATCACTGGAAGGAATGAGAAACGAATCCAAGAAGTGGTCAACAAATGCCAGAATCGGGACAATCAGAGAGCGCTTGGAATGAGGGCTGACTTATTGGTGGACAAAGATATCGAACAATTAGTGGCGAAGACTATCAAAGAGTTCGGCAAAATTGATATTCTAGTCAATAACGCCGGTATCGGAACTACTGTTCAATTAAATGATCAAAAATACATCGAAACCTTTGACGAGATTTTTAAGACTAATGTTAGATGTATTCAAGTGTTGACAAAACTAGTGGTCCCTTATCTGGAGATAACTAAAGGCAATATCATTAACGTCTCGAGTTTTGAAGGACTCAGACCTGTAAGTCATTTAGTAATTGTTATAACAATTTATTAAATCTCATTAATAATTATCAGAATCCGGTGACAATGGTTTATTGTATGGCGAAAAGTGCCCTGGACATGTTCACTAAATGCCTGGCACTATCATTAGGTCCAAAAGGCATTCGCGTGAATAGTGTTAAGTAAATCATAATTACATTTATTTATTGTCATTAAAATAAATTTTAATTTTGATTTTAATATAAATTAAATGAACACAAATAGCAAACATTTATAATTAAATTTAATGATTACTAATACTACTGAAAACTCTGACCCAATGAAAGCCCGGCCGCCATTCGGACGCCAATATTCTTTACGGTTACCGAAAACGACAAAATGCTTGATTGTGTGGAGAAGTATTGCAAAACCGCTTATCCCTTAAGACGTATCGGAGAACCGGAAGAAGTGGCAGAATTGGTCGCATTCCTGGCCTCAGACACCACCGCGTCGTTCATTACCGGAGCACTCATTCCGATCGACGGCGGGAGTCTTCGCGCAGATCTCTCGGCCATTGACTATATAAACCTTTAATACATTTCTGTTTGTTTTAACTATACTTGAATTACAGCTTCAAAGTTACACATATTCTTCTTTCGGGAATTTGAATGTTTTTTACTGTTTTTTATTTCTGGAAAGATTGCGGATGCATGTATTTACTCTAAATCACTTGACCAAATAGTAAAATTTTTAATAATTTAAATTTTTTCTACTTTTGTTTTAATATTTAGATTTATTTTTAAATGTCGTTAAATTACAATAAATTTCAATTAAATTCTATAAAACACGCAAAGGGGTACTACACATAATGATCGCAAACGCCTGTATACAGTTTGTAAAATAGGGTTTTATTTTACATTGTAAACTTGTTCGTTGATTTTTATATCTACAAAAATGATTCCTCGCTGGAGAAATTGTCCAATTCCTGAATTCTCCAGGGACGTTTGACAACATTATACTAAATGCTTGAACTACAATACAACAGCTACATTACATCGGTACAAATCGCTATGTTCGCACGCGCTCAAATATATATCCTTAAGTAAATATGTAATAATAATGACCTTCATATTATAATGTCCACAATGATGTATGAAAAATATGAAAGATAAAATCTAGACTTATATAAAAACACTAGACATTGGGTAATTCAGTCCGCGTAACTATAATTGAAATATGTATACAACATGTTCTGCAATACATTGTCTGAAAGAAAATTATTTAATCTATTATTATAATTATAACACATGTTACAATGTAACTAAAGTCTGGCTTGTTTTTGATGATTTTTCCAAATAAAATTGACCACATTTTTCTACGTATATTTTATGAGCCAAATCAAACTTAAATATAAATGTACTGTACATTTATTTATATTCATTAGGGGTGAAGTGAAGCACACAATATCTCGGTTCAAATATTTATATTATTTATTCTGGTTTATATGTGCTTGTTCATTTATTGATTATTACATCATGTTAGATTTAATTATATTTATCGCGATTATAGTTGTATGGATGATAATTGTGTTTTGGGCCACAATTAAACACATGTTAGCCCAACACTACTCTAAACAAAACCAAAGCGATAAAACATGGGATAAAATATTGAATTGTTTTTCTCCAATCAGTAACTATTTTGAATCAATTAGTATTAACAGCGGATCGTTACATAAAAATATAAATAAAACCAATGGTCAGCCTATAAATGAAAACAATGTTTTGGACGGTTTTCGATGTCTGTTCTGTATCTATACTATTTACGCACACGTTATGCATATGTTATTATTTAAACTCAACGATTTCGATATAATAATGAGTGATAACCGAATCTTGTAAGTGATTATTGCTTTACAAAATTGTTATGTTATTTAATATAAGGAGAGAGAGAGAGAGAGAGAGAGAGAGAGAGAGAGTCTGACCATTGGTTTTATTTATATTTTTATGTAACGATCCGCTGTTAATACTAATTGATTCAAAATAGTTACTGATTGGAGAGAGAGAGAGAGATTAACGATGATGATTTTTTAGTTTTGTAGGTTATGTAATGCATAGAATAATGATTGGAATTACATTCATTATTAATGGATTCGCATCAATGAAATGGTTTTCCCGACAACTGATGGATAAAGAAATGAATTTTAATAAAAGTCAAAATGTGTTCAAAACAACCATAAGATTCTATTTCGATAGAATCACACGAATTGTTCCCATATATTATCTCTCCCTTTATTTTTATATAATTTTTGTCAATTATTTGATTTCCGATCGATATTATGACAAACGAGTGATTGATTTTTGTGCAGAGAATTGGATTTTTAACGCATTATTTATGGGATATTATGTCAACGGATGGGTAATTAATATTATCTTGAAATCTTTATATTCAAGATTTTATATTTTTAAATTTTAAAATATGTACGTTTAGTGTATGGCTGCACATTGGTCATTAGATGGATTCGTTCAACTTACAATATTTACGCCACCATTTGTGATATTACTTTGCAGGTACTGCATTAACTTACAAAATTACTGTATATTATTCACATACAGTGCATACAATAAGTTATCCCAATAACCCAATAGGAATGCATTCAATTTAATAATATTTTGGTATTTTAGATATTTCAAGAAAGGAGTTTTGGTAATAATTATATGCAATGTTTTGCTGGCAATCAAAACATTTTATACAATGTATTCAAACGGTATCACAAATGAATCAAGTAATAGTGCCATCAATTTTACAAATAATCCCTTCACTGTCCAATTGTTAGTAACCAATAATTTTAATGCCCATGAGCAATTCTTGCAATATTATTTCATTTGTTAACAGACTATTAATTTATATTTTACAACACAACTAATTATATACGTGAACAGTCGTGAAAATGGTACATCCCATTTATTATACGCTAATCCATTGAGCTACGTGGCAACATATTTGAACGGAATGTTATTAGCATGTTTAATTGAACATGGATATTCCCAAATAATATACAAAAGCAGATTAGCGGCTAAAACGTGTTTAATGTTATCACTTGTTGTGGCCGTCAATACCATAATTGGATACTTGAGAGCGTCTGCACTGTTGGGCGAACTCCCGGTCTTCAGTGCGTGGGAGAGGTGTTCAACCGATTTGTTCGTATCGTTGCTCTCGTGTTATGCCGTTATATACTGTCGCGAAAGTGGGGGCCGTTTAACCCGAGTCATGTCCGCCCGGTATTGGCGACCAATGCGTGCCTCACAGCAGACATTAGGCCAATTTCATGTCCCACTATTAATAACCCTGACGTCCATTTTGCCCGAACAGCACATTATATCACCGCTTATTGTTTTGCTGCTATTTTGCAGCATTTTTATTGTGACGATTCCATTAGCGCTGGTGTTTGAGTTACCGGCGATTAAATTGCAACAAATGGTATCCAAATATCTGTTTGAAAACCAAAATGAGACGACAAAAGTCAAGAAATCAAAATAAGTAACTTTTGGTTGATATAAGTGAAAACTTATTAGCATTTGGTACTAATTAATAGTATAGATAATTAGTATACATGTGGATTAAAATATGAATTTATAAAAATTATTTAAATAATATTTATTTTAAAAACCCCTTAGAACATTAACAATCAGTGAAATTGATGTAAATTTTGTACTAAATGTTTGCAGATATTTTTAAATAATATTAAACATGTATTCTTTGAGAAAAAAGTATTTTAACAAAGTTTTTTACATTAACAGTTAAATTAAACGAGAAAAACAAATACCCATTACTGAATATTTCAATATTTAATATTTTTTATAAACTAAATATTTATTTATATTTTAAAAAAGTCAAATAAAAATATAATTAAATTAAAATAAAATATAATGTTAAAATAACTCTTTTAAACCACTATTCTGATAGGAAT